GAAAGGAAGCTGGGGCTTGAGTTGAAAGTGGGGGACCCTGTTTGGGGCTGGAGAGTGGAGGAGGGTATGCTGGGCCTAGATTTGGATGAATGCTAGTGCAGGGCCAATTGAAGAGCCTCAAATGTCAAGTTGATCTAGTTCTGTGGACAGCTGGCGCTACTGGAAGTGAGGTCCCAATGGGACACCGTCACAGTTCTATTTTGGAGAAAGCATCCCAGGGGTCAGCATGCAAGCTGGGTTGGGAGGCTGGGGTGGTCATCCAGGCAAAGGCCCCTTCGCTGAGCTGGGCACCGGCTGCAGGGTTGGGTGGTGCTAGGGACACCCCTGCCATGGGGCATTAGTGGTCTTTGTACAAGTTCAACCAGAGGGATGGGAACTACGTGAGCTGAGGATTTTTCCCATTCTCAAGCTCTGTGCTTCTCATTTGAGTCAGGGGGCTCACAAAATAGGGGTAGGATGTTTGTGGGTCTTTTCCAAAATTAAAACAAGTCTGTTGTTGAAACAGTACATAATTGATGAAGTTTAAACAATGTGGAAAGGAATGAAGTGGAAAAGAAGGCTCCATCCCTTTCAACCCTAGTCCCCAGAAATAACCATTATTAACAGTTTTCTGTGTTTCTGTTTAAAATTTTCCCTTGTGTAGATGCTCACTTTCACCCAATTGGGCTTGATTTTTTCCCCCGCTTAATGATATACCCTCCACATCACTCTGTGGCAGCCATATAATCTACCATGTTCTCCTCAGCTGCACACTAGCACGAATGTACTGTAACTTATGTAACCAGTCGCCTCTTGATGGATACTCAAGAGGTTTTTCTAATTTGCTGTTAGAAACAGGGATGCAGGAATAGGAGATTGAATCTGATCCTCTTGCCCATTACCTTAGGAAGATTATTAAAAACTTGTCTGTGGTATAGAAGACCTGCGTTCAATTTGAGGATGGTACTGTGTGAGCTTAAGCAAGTGGATCAACCCCTCTGAGCTTTAGTTTCCCATCTCTAAAATGGAGTTGTTGTGTGACATAGAATTGTCTGTCACAGTCACAGAGCGAGCACTCAGATATTAGTTGTTCTACCTGAACCCCCTGTTGGATGCTCTTCTTGTTCTTTTTCTCTGTGGCCCAGGTGGCGTGTGATGACCACGGCTCCCGAGGCTTTGGCTTTGTCCATTTTGAGACCCGTGAGGCTGCGCAGCAGGCCATCAGCACCATGAATGGGATGCTGCTGAATAACCGCAAAGTGTGAGTGGCAGGCATAGGGGTGGACCGAAGCCGAAGGGACAGAATCATAGCATCACCCACTGGGGACCCATGCTACCCACCACCATCTAAGGCAGCGTTTCTCAACCTGTGGGTCGCGACCCCTTTGGCGGTCGAACGACCCTTTCACAGGGGTCGCCCAAGACCATCCTGCATATCAGATATTTACATTACGATCCATAACAATAGCAACATTACAGTTATGAAGTAGCAACGAAAATAATTTTATGGTTGGGTCACAACATGAGGAACTGTATTTAAAGGGCCAGAAGGTTGAGAACCACTGATCTAAGGGCAGCAGGCACTGAGCAGCAGCCAGTATTCTTCCTGGCAGTGTGACCTCGGAAGAGTGGCTTAAGCTCTCAAGGACTCCCTTTCCTCAAGTAAAAATGGGACTGCTGATATATGCTTAGAGGATTTTTCTGAGGAGTCAATGAAGTGATGATTCTGAAGGAATGGCCAGATCATCAATGGACTCGGCCTTCTCAGCATGCCTGTGCATTTTTTTCTTAAGCCTTTTGTGTTATTTCATGGGATTTGGGGATGGGTGGGAAAGTAGGCATATGCTTAGCCGGCCATCTTCATACAAATCAGTTTGGCATCATCCCCACTTCACAGATGGGAAAATTGAGATGCAGATGCTGGAGAGAATCTCTTCTGGCAGTGCCCCTCCCCCAGTTTTGCTTCTGTGCATCTGATGGCTCAGCCCCATGCTCAGTACTGTGGAGCGATGGAGGCTTTGAGCTGGGAGATGCCCGGAGAGTCATTCTGTCCAGGGTTTCCCAGGGGAAGCTTCTGTCAATTGAACAATGGTGGGCTTTTCCCAGAAGGATGTTATTTTGTTAGCTACCATGTGTCCAGGTTTACCTTTGCCACTCAGTTTTCTCCAAGTTTTAGTGCCAGCTACAACTTGTTTGTGCTAAATGTGCTATAGATACTATCAAATTTTCTTATGCTTGGTTTTGTTTTGTATTTTTCTTTTATTAAAGAATATGTTTTTATTGATTTTAGAGAGGGAGGAAGGGGGAGAGAGAGAGAAACATTAATCGGCTGCCTCCTGCATGCCCCCTACTGGAGCCTGCAACCCGGGTATGTACCCTGACCGGGAATTGAACGGGTGACCTCTTGGTGCATGGGGCAACGCTCACCCAACTGAGCCAACTGGCCACAGCAGTTTTTGTTGGTTTGTTTGTTTTTCTTAATCTACGATACTTTCCTAGGTGTGTTGACATGAACTTGGAGATTACAATTTTTAAAGCGAATATTGTATTTAAGTTATTTCAGTTTCCCCACAGCAGCACCAGCATGGATTGTGTCTGGTTCTCCCACTACTGTTTCCCCAGTGTACGTGGTAAATGAATGAGCAAATCCCTGTGGTGTGAGTTTGATCCCCAGTTTTACAAGAATGAACACTGAGACTCAGAGAGGTTAAGGAACTTGCCCAGGGTGGCACAGCTAGGCAGCTGCAGAGTGAGGATTCAAGTGTGACTCCCAAGTTCATGCTCTTATCTCCTGTGCACTCAGCTGCCTGGTGTCTGGTAGGACTTCCCTGTGCATTTGCCACAAGAATTAAGTCTTAACCTTATGCTGGAACATGGAATCTTGGCTGCAGAAGGTGGTCAGGCCTTGGGTATATTCTAAGTAGTATTGCCCTGCCCAGTCTTCTGATGAGGGGATCAGAGGCCAGAGGCTGGTAGCAATTGGCTCCAGTGACCCAGGGTTGCGGGATGGGCTGGGATGGAGGTCGGGGTGGCTGGTGGCTGGCAGCTGCCTACCCTGTCAGTTTGTCCACAGCTTCGTCAGCCACTTCAAGTCCCGACAGGAGCGGGAGGCTGAGCTGGGGGTTCGGGCCATGGAGTTCACCAACGTCTACGTGAAGAACCTGCAAATGGACATAGACGAGCAGGGCCTGGAGGAGCTCTTCTCCCAGTTTGGTGAGTGTGTTTCCCGAGGGAGTTTGGGGTCACTTTCTCTTCTGCTCCCTAGTCAGGCTGGGGGGAAAGGCCCTCCTGGGCTTTCTGGAGACCTGTGGGAGGAAAGGGCAACACCTTGGGGCTTCCGAAACTCCCCGCTGAGCCAGGTTGGTCCTTCCCAGGGAAGACGCTGAGTGTGAAGGTGATGAGGGATGACAGCGGCCACTCCCGAGGCTTTGGCTTTGTCAACTTTGAGAAGCATGAGGAAGCCCAGAAGGTAGGAGCCTGCCTCCCCATCGCCCTGCTTCATGGAGAAGGTGCTGAGCCAGGACTAGGAAGAAGGGAGGTCAGGAGCAGAGGAAGGAAAGGTCACATGAGCCAGGGCCCTTCCTGCCTGCGCTGAAGGCAGAAGGCTTCAGCCTCCTCCGGGACTTCCGAGCCATGTGGCTGCTTATTTTATAGGTTCTTGCTGCACGGGAGGTAGAAGGGGCCTTCGAGACAGCCACTATCCTCTTCTTGAATTGATTGGGGGATTGAGGCAGGGAGGGAAGTGCTATGCTATTTCTTGCTTCCAGGCCTTTGTAAATGCTGTTTTCTCACACTTCCCTTTTCCTGCAAAATAGACCGGTGCTGTCCAATAAAAATGTAACGTGAGCCACATATGCAATTTAAAATTCTCCAGTAGATAAAAACAACAATAGCCACATTAAAAAGGGTAAAAAAAGAAACTGTGAAATTAATTGTAATATATTTTATTCAATGTTAACATTTTCAAATGATCACCACGTCAATGAGTATTTAATATAAAAATTGAGATTTTTTTTACATTCCCTTTTTTTTTTACTTAATTCTTTGAAATCTGGTACCTCCAGCACAATTCAGACCAGCCATATTTCAAGTGCTTAGTAGCTGCATGTGGCTACTGACTACCTTATGGGAGAGCGTAGCTTTAGGCGATTTAGTGCCTGTCCTTTGGGTCTAATACTTTCCGTCCTTCACGAAGCTGCCTCTTCCTGTTATCATTTACTTGTGATACCTTCTGTCTCTCTCCATTAGTAGCACATGAACGAACTGAAAGTAGAGTGCTAGCTGGTTTGGCTCAGTGGATAGAGCATCAGCCTGAGGACTGAAGGGTCCCAGATTTGATTCAAGTACATGCCCGGGTTGTGGGCTTGATCCCTAGTAGGGAGCATGCAGGAGGCAGCCGATCAATGATTCTCTCTCATCATTGATGTTTCTATCTCTCTCTCCCTCTCCCTTCCTCTCTGAAATCAATAAACATATATTAAAAAAAGAACAGAGTAGAGGCTGGGTCTCATTTCACCATTAAGTCTCTAGTATTGTACCTGTCAGTAGCTACCAGATACATATTTGCTGAGTGAATGAATGGTACAAGGTCATACAATGACAAAGCTGGAATAACAATGTTATGTTTGGCCTCCCATAAAGCTCTTTATGACCAACCATAAAGCTCTTCCCATGGTTGCTGCCCCTTTAAGATCACCGGACATGGAAGAGCTCAGCTCAGGGTGGATTCTGGCTGGAGACCTGGACCCTGGTGCCATCTCGATATCAGCCTCTTCTCACTGAGCACTTAGCACGGGCCAGGCACTTTGCTAGGGGTTTTGCATACATTCTCATCTCTCCCCACTAATATGGGCTCTGCTGTTATTATTAGGTTTCATGGGTTGTATTAGGTTCCACTGGGTTAGAATAAACTCTTTCTGACTCTGAAGTTTTGTTCTTAAGTAAATGGCTCCTTTGAAAGGTAACTTCTTGTGTGTCCTTGGACAAGTCCCACCCTCTCTCTAGGTTTTGTTTTCCTCAACTGTAAAACGACAAGTGGGAGTAGATGGATGAAGCTGCAGGGGTCCATTAACTCCAAGGTCTTAAGACTTTGGTAATGACTTTTAAGACTGCTGTAGAACAGGTAGTTCCTGGGTCCACGATGTATATTTACATATATTTGCATATTTAGGCAGAAAAGCAAAAGTCATCATTATGCGAAAGTATTTACTAATGAACTGCCCACTGAAAAAGTTCCCTTCAACATTTCTCTTCACTAACACCATTATCTCATCCTAACTATTGAGCCAGTACACACATACGTCTGCCTTTTGCAGATTTTTGCAGATAAGTCCATGCAAATTCAGTTCAGTATAAATGGATTGCAGAGAGAAGTTGCGTATCTCACAAAAGATGTAGGATTTCATGCAATCAAAGCCACTGACAAGTTAGGGTCTGGTAGGCTTAGGCCAGTTAACTGAAGAAAAGCAAAATCAACAGGGTTAAGACACCAGTGTTTCTAAAACAAAATTTCTAAAATAATTAGCAAAAGGATTCTTTATGCTGTGAAATCCAACATGAAGTAAAAGATATTGATTATGCTGTCATGCCATTTTGAAAGAATTATGCTTGCTGCTTTGTTTTTAAAAAATCCGTGTGTAGGTAGTTATAAACTGATTGTCAAATATGGGAAACTGCAAATTTCCCTTTTTAAAATAGAGTCAGAAGCAAATTTTAAAAAATCTACAGTTTACTCTGAAATTTTGTCCCATGTTTTTAAAAAGTGGATGGCCTTTATCCTGGTACTAATGATTCTCAGCTAACAAGGCCAGCCTGGGTGGCAGGTGTCCCTTCTAAACCAGGGAGGTGGGACTGGAGGCCATGGCTAAGGCCAGGGCCTCATCGGGGGTGGTTCCCAAGCACTGTCGCTCCATCTTCTCTGCACAGGCTGTGATGGACATGAACGGGAAGGAGGTGAGAGGACAGCTGCTCTATGTGGGCCGTGCCCAGAAGTGGGCGGAGCGGCAGAATGAGCTTAAGCGAAAGTTCCAGCAGATGAAGCAGATGAAGCAGGACCGGCTGAACCATTACCAGGTGAGGGCCCTGAATGTGATTCCCTCCTCTAGCAACCCCATGTCCAGGAACTAGGCTTTAGGGATTGTGGGGGCTCCAGCTTCCAGGTGAGGGGCATGCTGTGTGATTGGTGGGGTGCATGGGTATTGTGTGGGGCTGGGAAAGAGGCTTGGAGACCAGGGCTTCCACTGCCCCCCACACAAGTCAATCAGGAGCGTGGGGAGGAAGGCATATCTAGCAGTGTCCTTTCCCTCCAGGGCGTGAACCTGTATGTGAAGAACCTGGATGACTCCATTGATAATGAGAGGCTGAGGAAAGAGTTCTCTCCCTACGGAGTGATCACCAGTGCCAAGGTGAGGGCTGTGGGTGCCCGCTGTGGACAGAGAGCCTCCCCCTCCCATCCTCTCACTCCCCACACACCCCTTCTTCCTCCCATGGCCTTCAGGGAGTTGGTGCGGAGCCACACCTTTTGGATTTTGGGGCCATGTCTGACCCCATTGGAGCTTGTCTGCACTGAAGGGAAAGAGGATGATAACACAGTCCCAGTCACACAGCTGGTCTTATTGGGGCCCACTGAAACCTTGGTTCATTCAACAAGCATTTATTGAGTGCCTACTATATGCCAGATTCCAGAAATTCATGTCTTAGCATTTCCATTGACTTTGTTGTCTGGTCTTGAACAGTGACATACCCCTTCTGGGCCTCAGTTTCTCCATCTGAAAAATGAGAGGGTTGGGCTGCTATATCATTCTTCATCTATTCTTCGTTAATTAAACATTCTTAGCACCTGAAGTGTGATGATTGGGCTGTTCTACTCAGTAGCTCTGTGACCTTGAGCAGATGTCTTCTGAGTCTCATGCTATAAGATGAGGGAGTTGGGCTCACTGGATGCTTCTTCAATGCTGACGGCTCATTAAAATCCCCTAGGGCAGTGGTTCTCAACCTTGGCTGCACATTAGAATCACCTGGGAATCTTTTTTAAATCCTGATTTCTGGGCCTC